CCCGGCCTTCAGGTGAGACCGTCCGCTTCGTCGCGTGCTAGTGGACGCCCTCTACAAACGAGAGAAGGCGTCTGGAAGAATGGTAATCAAACATTCCGAGATGAAAAACTTCAGAACCGCCCGAAACTACATGAGTGACATTGTGGAGAAGACTGACGACTTGCTCTTGCGTGCCACCGCTTTTGCTTTTGCTTACAACGACAAGCAGGATTAAAGCGTGGCGTTAAACTCCTTCGTCGTGAGTTGAACATGGCCTGTGGCACTATCGGCTTATTGAAGTTCACGAGGTGCTGCGCTTGAAAGGTGGAGCCTCTAACACCTTTAACCACCTGCCACGCCGCGGCCTTATCTGTCGACCTGCGATGCACATCTCAGCAAAGGTTTGACCTGTTTGGCTCGCGTGGTCTAAGGCGAGGACAGACTGGCCATCATCCACTCCTTCGCCTATGCGCAGGGGTCCTCAACATCTTCAGTGCCTGCGTCGGAAGCTTGGATGCTGCACTTTGCGCCGCTTTTTGGATTATTTAATGAAGGAACATATTCGAGTCATTTTCAGGGGCTTGCGCGCCGCCAGCCACAGGGTGAAGCTTGGCATTGAGTTGAGGTGCATGGGGGGGGGATACCATTGGGGGGCGGGGTCGATTACGCGGAACGCGGGCATATAGCGAGTATCGTGGGTGAGAAAAGTGACCGCCTACAGTGGGCGTTTGATCTTGGCCGCGGGCTTAACTACTTCAGGGGTCGAGTACAGCGGCCTGAATAACTGGCAGGATTATTCATCAGAATTCCCACTTCAGTGCTGTGTAAAGACCAACCCCTTGGCGTTGGAGGTGGCCACCCACTTCGCCGGCTTGGTCACCGCCGAGTGTTGCGCCCTGTGGGTCCGCTGGCTGCTCACGGGAGTCGAGCGTGGCTGTGGCTTGCGCAAACACGGAGAGCGCGCGGCCGCCATTCAGTCGATCGAATCCACATGAGCGTCATGAAGATGAGAACAGCGCAGAAGCAAAGGCAGACTCAGCAATGAAGAAAATAACGCAGGAAATTATCCTAACATCAAGAAATGTCGGAGATGATGATAAAGTTTTATTAAGCGTCAAGGTAATTATACATGAAGGAAAGAAAGAGGCAATTAACTAATTGAGTGAGACACTGCGAAAGTTCATGAAGGTGAAGAACTGCCAATGAAGAGTTGTTCTGTTGGTGAAGGGCTCAGTAAGAAGTATAGGAGGCCGAAATGCTTCTGGTAAATAGTAGCAACTGAATATAACGATTACTCGAAAACTTACTCGAGATATCTGACCACGTAACGTTATGAGAACTGTAGAACTTGCATTTCTAAACAAGGCAGTCGTAAGAATGTCCTTAGTAATATGCTTCCTTAATAGTGTTCATTTGCGTATGTGTAGGTATTATTCGAGAATATTCAAAGATGAAGTCAGAGTTAAACATGATGAGGTATGAAGTAGAATTTAGTTGTGGAGAAGATGTTCTCAGCGAAGCCGTGTTAGCACATGAAACCGCAAAGGTTTCGCAAAGGAGAACATAGCGCCAGCAAACTGGAATTTGTTGAGGAGGGTTCACCTAAAAAAATTTACTGTCCAGTATTCAACTGAGTAGAGCCACGACTTTTGTAAAGGGTTCTGGAACCACGAACTAGTCTGTAAAGAGTTTACAGCCGCACCTTGAAAACCGCTTATAACAAAGAATACATATCAGCACAGTGTTGCAGAAAACTCGGGGTTCCTACTAAAGGATTTTGTTCATTTATCATCTTGACTAAAGTGATTGATGTATACGCTTGTTGTTGATTTTGATAGAAATGGTTTATGTGATGTTGGAACAGAAGACGTACACAAATATTCGGGCGAGTTGTTTATTCATAAACCACCACAGTGTACAAAGCTGTGATTTCTAAACGATCATTACGGTAGACGTGTGCCAAAAACATGCTAAATGAATGTCTCACCGGAGAAAGGAGTGCACGAACAAGACAGAGCCCATGTGTAAATGGTGCGTGACATTTGAAAAACTTTCCATCGAATAGCACTAATGTTGAACCCTCTTTAGTGCCCCCCCCCCCCCCCCTGAACAGCCGAGGCTGGATCTTGCTCTGTTTAGACGGCGCCGGGGGTTTAGCTGGTTTTAATAGGGAGAAGTTTAGTTAAGTTTCAAAGGGGCAGCGATGCCCGGCAATCTTTTTTAAAGGCGTGCCACGTGCAATTTTCGTACGGCGCCCGACGATTTGTCTTTAAAGAGGGACTCCCAAACAGTCAGGGTATCCTGAATAATTCAACCAAATAATTGTCTTTAAAGAGGGGGCCAATACTAAAGCGGGTCCAACATTACACATAAAGCAATGTTTTCATACACATCTTCATGTTACAGAGCTGTATCTGAATGAGAGATTTACAGCAACTTCCGCAAAGTGTCCACGTAACGACAAGCTGCATAAGAGGCAAAAGAATGTCAACCAACGTACAAATCATGGAATATTTACAGGGAGAAAAATCAATGAACACAACTTTTTTTGGTTTTCAAAACAGCCTACCATCATATTTTGAAAGAGGAAACTGGATAGATGATCTCTGCAACCAGCTACACCCAACTTCGCTTTCCCACCCTTCTACCTGACGGCAACTAGCATAACCGCTAGCGTAAAAAAATGAATGAAAACGGCGAGCTTATGAATATTGATATTGATAAATATTATACACGAGTTTCAGCACATCGGAAGAGGTAGGGTAGTCCCTGAAAGCGACAAGGCGATGTCATTGCCCTGAAACCTCAAAAGGAAGCTCAGGTACTCTGCGTATTTTCTTGAACATTTGCAGTATAACGACATGAACAAGACTTTGTACCCCGCAAAAAGGAAGTGCAGTTCTCACAGCTGCGTTGTCCTAAACCTCGGTGTTTTCTACAAGCCATCCGCTGCAAGCAATGAACTTGTGGCAATGCAACACGGCCCATGCATCTTGGGTACTCCACAAAGGGGGGTGGTAGGTTAGAGGACCTGAGCATAGCAGGTTCTAAGACACCAAACTCCCGCCCTGAACCCCATGTACACTAAGCCCCCAGCTCAACCATCATGTCACGTCACTTGGAAGGCGAAAGCCCGCAGTGACTACAATCTCGGCGTGCGGCTTCTGAAAGGTAACTGGGGTGCTGAGTTGGTTTAGGGTTTAGGGTTTAGGGTTTAGGGTTTAGGGTTTAGGGTTTAGGGTTTAGGGTTTAGGGTTTAGGGCTACTGGGGTGCTGGGTAGCTAGCCTTTTTCCGCTTGTCTGTTTCTGGTGGTCCTCACCAAATACCGCGGCTCAAGCCAAAACCCTATATTTCACTCCCTTCCCCCCTTTCGGAAGCTCAGTAAGGTAAGGGCCAGCAGGAAAAGGACGAGGCCCACGGAACCTTCAAGATCGAGAGCTTGAGGATGTTTAGGGTTTTGTGTGCACCGTTTAGGGTTTAGGGTGTAGGGTTGAGTAAAGAATAAATCTTTTCGGGATGGTTGCGAGCTATACCTGGTAAAGGATTCAGGTCTCCAGTGTGTTGGGGTGCGTGATCGGGAGTCGAGAGCATGGACACACCCCCCCCCCCCCCTAACCCCGGAAACCCGCAATCCTGAACTCTATATATAGACCCAAGAATCTACACTCCAATCCCTAACACTCTAAACCCCTTAACCTAAGCTCTTCATTAACCCCAAACACGAGCTGAGGTTAAAAGTGTCACTGCAAGGGCTTCGGGGCAGGGGAGAGAGCGGAGGGCGTCAGCGTGGTGGGTTAATTTGTAGCACGCAGACCCTTCAACCCTAAACCCTATACGCGACATGAGGAAGCCTGCACCGTGACGCCGCGGCTCACATCCCCATTCCTCCTCCGACTTTGAAGCTTCTGATGCATTTCCCCTACCGTGAGTTCCTGCAAGCTCCTTTCTGAACTTGACTGTCCCATTTAAAGCTAACTGGACCCTGTAGACTCTTCAGACCCTGAACCCCAAAGCCTAGAAACTCTAAACTCTAAACTCCAATCCCGAAGCCTGAGGCCAAGGCTGGCAGGTGCTTTCGCCAAGCGGCGGACCTCGGCCACACGAAGGCGGCTTATGCCCTGGGGGTGATGCTGCTGAATGGGCTCCTCGGCACGGTGTTGAGCCAGAATTTAGGGTATAGGGTGTAGGGTGTAGGGTTAGGGTTTATATGCCAAACGGAAGCGCGCTCTGTGAGCGCGCATTAGTCTCTGCCGACCTACCCCCCAAGGCCGCCCACTTGCAACTCTCAAGGAGTTAAGTCATTGATACATTTTCGAGGTCGCTTCGTGGCCATCAGTTTCGGAGCCAAGGTAAAAATCTAGGAAAATCTAGCCCCGAGCACCGTTTGCTGGTCGGCTAGAGAAAACTAGAAAAAGCTAGAAAAAACTAGACTTTTCATTCGCTGAATTGCTGATATTTCCTGGCCATCAAGACTGTGGTTTCGGGTTTAAGGGGTTGGGGCTCACTACCTTGTCATGGGTTAGGATGTTGCTGCCGAACAGGGTTCAGGGATGGCTGTAATTTGGATAGCTGAAGTTTTAGTTTTCAGGTTCAGGGCTAGTGTACTGTTAGAGGTGTTTAGGGTTTAGTGCGTCAGTTGTTTTCAAGACTTTTCGGGTTCAGGGTTTAGCGTGTTTCGGATTGGACACCCCGACATCGCACTCGGAACGGTTGTTGATCAAGGCTTTTCGGGTTCAGGTCTTATGTGTGTGGGATTGGACACCCCCCCCCCCCCCCCAAGTGGCTTTTCGAAGGTGTTTTCTTGAGCCGGGCTAAGCCTTTCCATGCCAAGGCTGGCAAAAAACTAGACTTTTCCGAGTAAAAGCTAAACTTTTCCGGGCAAATGCTAGACTTTTCCGGGTAAAAGCTAGACTTTTCCGGGTAAATGCTAGATTTTTCCAGGATTTCGGCCGGGCCTCGGAACCCCGTGTTTCCATGCAACAACTGCCTTCATCTAACCGGAACAGCCCCACATACAAGGATGACCTACGTGCATCATGCCATATGGGCCCCATGGGCCCCAAGAACCTGACCTCAGATCCTGCCAGTCAGTAGGCAGGCTTCTCTTGCCTGGACACTTTTTTTGCAATGACGGTATGGGCACAAAAGGTGACATTACCATTCACGCCCTTCTGATTTTCTTTTTGATTTCCAGGGCCCAAGTATTTTGGTTGTAGGGTTTGAGTTCAGGGTTTGGGGTCAGGAATTGGGCTCATCTCCTACTTAGTGTCCACAGAGTTAAAGGTTTCCAGAGACAGAGTCGCCAGTCACCAAGAACAAATCTTAGACATATTCTGAAAATTGAGCGAAGGAAAACTTTAGAACCTTTGGTTGCTAAGCAAAGGAAACGTACTGGACAAATCTAGCGCCTTTCTTCGTGTTCCGGCTTCGAAGAAGACGGTCTGGAAGCAGATACTAAAGCGTTTCTAAGATTAAGGGCTTCTTTTTTATAACGCAACATGTACTCGTGATGCATGGTTTAGACGAACTTGATACTAAACTGTTCACTGAAGCCGCCTATGAGCTGTGTCACATGGGTCGCTTGGAACACTTGGGTCGCTTTGGGTCAGACTTGGGAACTTGAGATCCGAAATGTTTGGGAGAACTGGGAACACTTGTTGGGTTACTTGGATCACTTGGGTCACCGGCGACACGTAGGTCGCTGGGGTCATGAGGATAGGTGGCACATTCTCGTCACCGCTGGGAATGTTTGCATAAGTTGTATCACTGCGGACACTTTACTCATGCTGTCACTTGGGATACTCCGGTCTCTTGGGACACTTGGGTCACTTCCAGTGGTGTGTTACAAGTTCACAAGGGACACGTGGGTCACTTCGTTCACTTTGTGGCCTTCAAGACACACTTGGGACCTTGGTGTCACTTGGTCAGAACACTGGGGAGCATGTGGGGGACACCTCATTCACTCGGTGACTTGGGGCACGTCACTTTGGGGCACTGGCACTGGGGCCATTCACCTACTCACTGGGGACACTTTTGTCACCTGCACGCTTGGGCCAAGTCACTTGGGGCACTTGGGTCACTGCCCGGAGGCCGGCTCGGTCGCCCGTCTGGGCTCCCTCGCAGGGTTCCCTGAGGCGGAGCCTACGGAGCACAAAGCCCTCAAACCCTAAGCAACCTCAAAAGCAGCGCAAGCTCAACCCAAGCCTGCCCTTACCCAGGAATGTTAAACCCTGCCAAGCCCCAAACCCGCAAGCCCCAGACCCTACCACGTAAACCGTACTAAGCCCTACTAAACCCTATCAAAACTCTACTCAGCTCTACCAGTCCTCCGAAGCCCTAGTAAACCCTAAGCCCTGAACCCTACCCAATCCTACAGCCTAAATCCTACATCTTCAATCCTCAACCCTAAACCCTAGACCCTAAACCCTGAACCCTGAACCCTAAACCCTAAACCAAGGCAAGGCGTGGGCAAGGATGAAGTCGTGGCCGGCGCCTACCTAAAGCAAGCGGCGCAGGACGGGGCTTAGGGTATAGGGTTTCGGGCTTAGTGCTGCCTCTTTTTGTACCTTACAGGGGGAGGGGGTGGGAGGGGGTGGGTGGGAGGTTGAGATTGTTTCTGGGTGTCGGGGGGTTTGTCTTGTGCGTTATTTCTCCAGATAGTTTGGAGCCTGCCCATGCAACTTGCAGGGCACGAGCATGTTTGTGTGATGTAGTGGTGTCCTGTCCCCTTGTTTTGCTTCAGGGTTCCCTTACAAAGTAACCAACCCGAAAAAGGGTACTCTTAGTAGAATATGTTTACCGGGTTACCAAGCAGGTAGGACGACAGTAAGACCACAATGATGCACTTCAGGCAAGTGGGCCTTCATGTGGCCCTATCGGCCTGCACTTGTGCATCGCAGTTAAATCCTAAACCCTAAAGAAAGCCCTAAACCGTAACCCTAAACCTGCAAGCCCTAAACCCTCAACCCCTAGCCCCTAAACTCTACACGCAGATTTCGGCCATCGTTTCCCATGGCAGGCCGGTCACCCGCAGGCCATGTACAACCTCGGTCTGATGTACCAGCATGCCATAGGCCGGGTGTAGGGTTTAGGGTTTGGGGTTTAGGGTTTAGGGTTTAGCGGAGCTTCGGACTCAGGGTTTGGGCGTTTTTGAGGTCCAGGATTTGGGGTTTAGGGTTCAGGTGTCAGGGTTCGGGGTTTGGGGTTTAGGGTTTAGGGCTTTCTGGAGTTTAGGGCTCAAGGTCTCTTGTGAACGAAAGGTAGTCGCCCAGCCACAAGGCTATGTTGTCACCTGGCTTGGCTCACCTTCCTCTAAGCCCCGGACCCTGAACCCGAATCCCTAAACCCTAATCATAAACCCGAAACCCTCAGCCTCGATGAGCACTGTCAGCATTGAGGGCCGCCACAACTTCGACCCATCAGACATACAGCCCTGTCCAGGGATGGGCTGTTCGGCCTTATAAGCCCCTTCATCGACCCAATAACAGGCCTTTCAAGCGGGTTGTAGGGTTTAGGGTTTAGGGTATAACGGCCCATGCTGGCTACAATCCTTAACCTTCACGCAACCCGATGAACTTCGCGGTTTGTAGGGTCTGGTTGGGGAGAGAGGGGACGTGGAGAATGCACTATAGGGGGCCTTAATCGTTAGAATAGTTTAGGGTTTAGGGTTTATTATGATTGTTTTTTGTTTTTTGGCGGGGGGGGGGGGGGGGGGGGGGGGGGGGTCCATAGTGGAGTTATACAGGAGCCATAAGGTAATATCATTGGTAAGTATTCCGACCCCCATATTAGTCGTGTTCTCCTAGCATGGGGCTTATAGGGCTTGCAGGGTTTGTGGGACTTAGTTTTCAGACTCGGGGCTAATATACTTTTCCCTACACCCTAAACCCCAAGCCCAAAACCCCAAACCCCAAACCCTAAACCCTAAACCCGAAACCCTAAACCCTTCCTGCGAGGCGTGGAGCGAAACCTTGAGCTTGCAAAGGAGTGGACGGAACAGGCCGCCAAGCGAGGGCACAAGAAGGCCAGGGCTTTGGGTTTTTTCAGGATTGCGGCCCTAAGACCTAAACCCAAAACCCCAAACTTATAGGGTTGGGGTTGAGGGTTTAGGGTTTAGGGTTTAGGGTTAGGGTTTAGGGTTTAGGGTTTAGGGTTTAGAGTCTCGGACATAAGGATTGTAACGATCCAGGGCTTCATGGTAGGGTTTCTTGGACTTCGGGATGCTGCCCCTACCCCCCAAGTAAGGCGTAAACAGGCCTGCTTTTGGGTTTAGGGTTTAGGGTTTAGGGTTTAGGGTTTAGGGTTTAGGGCTAAAGATCAGAATGTCGCAAAAGCATACTAGCACATGGCCTTTGCGCCCATGGGCCATTATAGTCAGAGTCCTGGGAGCCCACGGGTAAACTGCAGAGGGTTTGAGGTGTTTAGGGCCTGGGGTTTAGGGTGTAGGGTTTAGGGTGTAAGGTTTAAGGGTGTGGGGTAACCCCCTCGATCCCCTATACCCTTCATGCCCCTAAGAAACCTCTGAACCCTAACCCCGAAACACCTGAACCCCTAATAAACCCCGAAAACCCTAAACCCTAAACCCTTAAACCCTAAACCCTAAACCCTAAACCCTAAACCCCTAAACCCTAAAAACCCCAAACCCCTAAACCCGAACGCCTTATGGGAGGCCCTAAGCCCCTTAAGCCCTTTAAACCCTACACCCTAGACCAGCCTAAACCCCTAACTCTAAACCCTAAACCCTAAACCCTAAACCCTAAACCCTAAACCCTAAACCCTAAACCCTAAACCCTAAACCCGAACGCCTGATGGGAGGCCATCCGGAGCAAGGGCATCAAAGTCTTCGGAGTCGGCCCCTGGTTGGTGACTCATCCTGACTTAGGGAGGGAGGGGTTTAGGGTTTAGGGTTTAGGGTTTAGGGTTTAGGGTTTAGGGTTTAGGGTTTAGGGTTTAGGGTTTAGGGTTTAGGGTTTAGGGTTTAGGGTTTAGGGTTTAGGGTTTAGGCATGGGGGGTGGGGGGGCTTAGGGCCTGGGGTCTAGGGCTTAAGGCTTGGGGCTTAGGGCTTCGTGCGTGCTCTAGTTTGTGACTTTGGTAGTTAGGGGTCAGGTATTAGGGCTTAGGGTTTACGGTCAAAACTCAAGGTGGCAGAGGTGTCCGGGTTTTTTGTTTGAGCACCTAGATGTCAGTTTGTTCTTTTTTGGTGTTTCCTCGATTCCTTACAAACCCTACCCAAGACCGGAAAGGGAGCCTGATTTTTCTTAGGTTGCTGGGAATCCACGCCCTGATCCCGGATGGTTCACAGTTTAGGGTTTAGGGTTTCGGGTTTAGGGTTTAGAGCGATGCCCGGCTTCGGACAAGGACTACGACCCAGACGAGATGGGAGTGGAGCGCATCGTGAAGGAGGCGCAGGGATGTAGAGGATGGACCCTCAACCCTCAACCCTCAACCCTCAACCCTCAACCCTCAACCCTCAACCCTCAACCCTAAACCCTAAACCCTAAACCCTAAACCCTAAACCCTATACCCTGACCCTGAACCCTAAACCCTAAACCCTAAACCCTAAACCCTAAACCCTAAACCCTAAACCCTAAACCCTAAACCCTAAACCCTAAACCCTAAACCCTAAACCCTAAACCCTAAACCCTAAACCCTAAACCCTAAACCCTAAACCCTAACCCGAAAGCCTAAACCCAAACCCTAAACACTTCCACCATCTTTCAGCATCGTGTTCGTCGTATTTTCTTTCCTCAACGCGAAGAGCCTCCCCTTCAAAGGCCGAGGCGGGCAACACCCACGCGCAGCGCCTTGCCTGCAAGAGAGGTGAGTGCCCTTCTGGGTTTAGGGTTTAGGGTTTAAAGGGTTTTAAGGGTTTTAAGGGTTTTAAGGGTTTTAAGGGTTTAAAGGGTTAAAGGGTTTAAAGGGTTTAAAGGTGTTAAAGGGTTTAAAGGGTTCAGGGTTTAGGGTTAGGACAAGGGCGGGCCCTGAAAAGGGAACCTGTCTTCGCCCTCTTCTGGCTCTCTTAAGCAGTGGCCTTTTTCAGAGGGTCTACATCCCCAAACTCTGGTCCCCCTAATCCTATCCCCTAGAACTCTGATGCCCAGTCTTTACTTCCTTCAAACGAAGGATAAAAAGGTTCTAAGCCTAATTATCCCTGCAAAACAAGGATACCAGAAAGTGTTCCAAGGGCCCTTAAACCCTGAACCCCCTAAACCTAGACCGCTTCACACTTGAACCTGTTTTCCCGACACCCTTAACTGTAAATCCGGCTTTGGACAATGGCTCCGGCAAAAAACGCCTCATCGGGAGGGATTTGGGCGTACTTCATCGTGCACAAGGCTGCCTAGCAAGTTCTACAACCCTAATAAGCATGTAAAACAAAAAAGAAAACTCCACTGTTGAAGAGGGTTTGGGGTGCAGGGTTTAGGGCTCTTGTGCGTGCAATTAAGAGCATTTCTGGGATCGACAACTGCCTCGAACCCCACCTCCCTCCAGGCAGCAGGGCAATAACGATGTAGGGCAGGGTTTAAGTTATAATTGGGACGGGGGGGCGCGGTGGGGCATCGCCCTAATACGGGGGCCTGAAGAAGTAGAATAGGGGTTATTATAGTATAATTGCAAAGGCACCATCAAGGAATATAATTAGACATTATTCCGACCCCGATAGTACACCCTTTACCTCAAAACCTAAGTTCTAAGTCTTTGCAGGTTCCGTTTGGGAAGCATGTACTACGAGGGCGAGAAGATGTCGACGGACAAGGTGGGGCCGGCAGAAGCTGACTTCGTGGTGTGGCGTGATGGGCTAAACTTGGGATGTTCCCCTGTGTCCTTAACTTGATAGAGATTATAATCGAGAGTACTATAATCCCCTTTAAGGACTGTTAGGATAAGGGTGAACATCCCAGCCCTAAACCCTAAACCCCAAAACTTAAAAGGTTTCGGATCGGGTGGGTGCTTGGTAATTTCTACCGTTGCTCAAGGAGGCATGTAGGAATCGAATCCTTGTAGAACCCTCGATGTAGATACTCCGAAACCCATAGGGTTTAACCAGGGTTTCGGGTTTAGGGTTCAGGCTTTAGGGTTTTGGGTTACATTTTAGGGTTCCTCTGTCCTGCTTCCCGCCCAGCACGAGGAAGCATTCGAGGTCTCAGCCCTGCGCCCTAAACCTTTTGCCCTAATCCACTGCACCGAAAGCTCTGAACCCAACTGCAATTCTGTTGTCCTACTCTGCGTAGGGCTTCCTACAGTCATACGACTGCAGGTACCTCAACTCGTACCACGGTTTAGATATCTCATCCGTTTAGAGTTTAGGGTTTATAACTTAGGGTTTGGGGCTTGGGTTTTCCCGTGGCATGCGCATGCTGCCTGAAGTTTCGGTTCACTATCCCTACATAGGGACGTGGGGGCCCTGGGAAGCTTTAACCCTAAATTCCCAAACCCTAAAACCCCAAACCCTAAACCCTAAACCCGAAACCCCTAGACCCTAAACCCCTAGACCCCAAACCCTAAACCCTAAGCTCTACACCCTAAACCCTAAGCCCTAAGCCCTAAGCCCTAACCCCTAAGCCCAAAACCCTAAACCCTAAACCCTAAACCCTCAACCCTCAACCCTCAACCCTCAACCCTCAACCCTCAACCCTAAACCCGAAACCCTAAACCCCCTAAACCCTAAACCCTAAACCCTAAACCCTAAACCCTAAACCCTAAACCCTAAACCCTAAACCCTAAACCCTAAACCCTAAACCCTAAACCCTAAACCCTAACCCTAAACCCTAAACCCTAAACCCTAATGGAAACCCGCATGTTGGCAGGCCAAGGCTTCGTATTGGCTGCTGGCCTTGCAGTGGAGACGGTTGAGGGTAGGTTTGGGGTTTAGGGTTTATGGCTAGGGTTTATTGTCTTGGGTTTAGGGTTTAGGGGGTTGGGATTTGGGGCTTTAGGAGGGTGCAGGGTTTTGGAGTTCGGAACTTAGGGGTGTAGAGTCTGCTTCGAAGGGTCGGGGGCAATGAGTCAGAAGCACGCGTACCAGTACCCCAACGCCAAATTTCATCTAAACCTAAACCCCATAATTCTAAACCCTACCTATGACCCCGGTGTGTTTTCCAACCATGAGCCTCCACTTCTAGACTTTAACGACCGTCTGGAGGAGCCCTAGACCCCACAAGTTCAGGGGATAGATTGACGCGGTGGCCCGCGTCAAGCGGGGCGGTATCTTAGAAATGTATTATTTGGTGTAAAATTGCCCCCGCACAGGGCAAAACAAGGGGTTTACGGTTTAGGTATAGGGTAAACAGGAGCTTTCTCGTTCAAAACGTTTCAGTCACAAGTGGTTCGGTCAAAGCGTTATTGGGACCCAAACTTTACACACATTTTCTATGAAGCCTAAGCCTTTCCAGCTCCCCCCCCCCCTTCACGTCCACTGCATTCAAAAGCCATGCAGCCTTGCAGCTCTTTAACATATTTACCTTCAAGCTGTCAAGTTTGGGGGTTTATGGTTTAGGGTTTAGGGTTTAGGGTTCAGGGCTCCACAGTCATGCGTGCTAGGGCCAGGGGGGGGGGCGTGTACAGGGATTGCAAAGTGTGCTAGAGGGATCCAGTTCTCCACGCAGGTGCCTTCTAGGCCTTCTACGGCGCATGCTGTAGTTTCCTAGCCTTGAACCAGAAAGCTTAGTCCTAGCCCGGAAGCCCTACTGTAAAACCTAACCCTCAACCTTAAGCCCTAACCTTCCAGCGAAGGTTTATGCAGGCAGCTCAGGCTGGTCTGCCCGAAGCACAGTACCAGATCAGCAGGACTACCTGTGGTTTAGGGCTTAGGGTTTTTAAGGGTCAGGGTGTAAGGTTCAACGGTTCAGGATGGCGCAGAGGCTGCGAAGGCTAGGATGCAGAACAGGCTCGAAATCAGGTGCGAAGAGCAGCAATGGCCCGATTGTGGAGGGCCCATCTAGTACTTGCTCCCACACAATGGGTCTCCCAAACTTATTCCTTTTAGGGTTTGGGCCAAGGTCCCAGGCAGGTCGGGCACCCAGGGTGGGTCCGAGAAAGTCGCAGCAGAAATGGGGCTCCCAGCCACAAGCTCAGGGGGGTCGGGGTGCGGGACCTGAGAGGGGGAGAACAGAACAGGCCCATCGTGGGTGCTACCGACCTCCGAGTGAGGGAGGCAGGCGAACGACCTGTCGAGGAGCCCTCCCCAACCCCTTGGGGGGGGGGGTTGGTTTAGTTTTTGGCTGTGAGGATTCTGCGATTTTGAGATGTCAGTGTCAGGGTTTGGGGTTGAAAGTTTTGTGGATGAGGTTGAGTTTGAAGCACAAGCCCTACAAGCCCCGAAAACCCCTAGGCGGGAAGTTGCGTTGAGCATGGAGGATGTCCAGGGTCAGGGCTGAAACATCGGTGTATATCGGTGTGACTAGCTCGGTGCAGCTTTGAACCTCAGACATCTACTCTATCCCTAACATCTAAAGCCCCAAATCCCCAAAACAACTGTGCACCCGAATCCGTACACCCAATGCCCCTAAACTCTAAATCCCTAAACCCTATACCCTGCAGCCCAAGCCATCATCCTGAGCTTAAAGGACCTTTAAGACATTGAAATCTAAAGTAAAAACATAGCAGCGCCAACACGTTTAAGATCAGTGAATCCTCAAGCTACAACCCTAAACCCGAAACCCCTAAACCCCTAACCCCAAACCCCAAACCCTAAACCCTAAACCCTACACCCGAACCCTACAAGTTTGGACATGTGCAGGATGCTGTTTCTTGGTGACGGGGTCGAAGCCGACACTGAGTACGCGATGCGGTTCCTGAAGCTCGCGGCAGGGAGGGACCCTGCCTCAGAATGGCCAGCGTGAGGGTCCCGAAACCCGAAATTCTAAACCCCTATTGAAAGTCTGAACTCTGAGGCCTAAACCCTGAACCCTGAACCCTAAACCCTAAACCCTAAACCCTGAACCCTGAACCCTGAACCCTGAACCCTGAACCCTGAACCCTGAACCCTAAACCCTAAACCCTAAACCCTAAACCCTACCATGTTTGGACCTTTGCTCAGGGTTCCCTGGCCAGGGCCATGTGGAGTCCATGCACAACTTGGGAGCCAAGCTGTACTTCGGAGATGGGATTGAGAATGACAGGCGCTGCAGTTTAGGGTTTAGGGTTTAGGGTTTAGGGTTTGGGGTGTAGGGCTTAGGGTTTAGGGTTTGTGGTTGGGGTTAGGGTTTGAGTTTGGGGTTTAGGGGTTAGGAGGTTAGGGGGTTAGGGGTTTAGGGGTTAGGGGTTAGGGGTTTGGGGTTCAGGGTGTGGTTTCAGTGTGCAGAGTGCAGGTATTCGGGTTCAAGGTCTAGCACGAAGTCTAAACCCCCTTCAAGCCCTGCCACTACGTGGTTTAGCACCAGGGCAATTGTATTCATATTGAAGTAAGATTCTTGGCAGCCCAGTGGTACCTGTGAAGGTTTCCTTATACAGTAACCCAAGAAAGGTGCCCTTGTTAATATGTGCTTACTCAGATACCAGGTTGAAGTAAGATGCAGGTGAAGGTTGAGTGAGTGCTTATGGGCTCCTTGGCGTTTTCGAGTGGAGGGCTGTTGGGGGAGACGTAGGCAGCTCGCCCGAAGGGCCCTCAAGCCCATAAACCAGAAACCCCTGGACACCCGAATACTAAACCCGCAAGTCCCTAAACCCTAAACCCTAAACCCTAAATCCTAAACCCTAAACCTAAACCCTAAACCCTAAACCCTAAACACGGACCCAAGAAGCAGCCTCTACACAATACACGCCTTGACACCATCCCAAACTTGGAGCCGGAGTAGGCCCTCATTCCTTATATATATATATATATATGTACATATATATATTATGTATATACATATATATATATATGGGTTTTAGGGTCTAAGCTTCGTCAGAAGCAGCTCAAGCTCCAGGGCTTTTGGGGTAGGGTTTAGAGTTGTGGGTTTAGGGTTTAGGGTTTAGGGCCCCTGAAGCCCGAAAGCTAAACAGCCCTCCAAAAAGCCTCAAAATCTGCTAAACCCTAAACCCTAAACCCTAAACCCTAAACTTTGGGAGGCGGACGGCGGCCTCCTGGTTTCTCAAGGCGGCGCAGGAGGACCCCCAAGCCGGAGGAACCTTACATTTAGGGCTTCAGGGTTTTTAGCAGGATTTAGGGTACTGAGTTTGGGTTTCAGGGATTTTGGTTTTCGGGGTTATTAGGCTTTGAGGGGTTTAGGGTTCTATGGATTTCGGGTCTAGGGGTTTTAGCCTCAAGGGTTTTAGGGGCCCCTTTAGGGGTTTAGGGTTTCTCGGGCTTTAGGGATTTAGGATTTTAGGGCTTTAGGGTTTTAGGAATTAGGGGTTTCGGGCTTCAGGGTTTTAGGTTTCAAACGGCGTTTAGGGTTTCAGGGTTTCAGGGGGCCCGTGTCATTTCAGGATGCTGCGTGACCCGATTTAGGAGTATTGTTTCGCTGTGCTAAGGTCTCTATCATACCTTTACAACCCCTCCCGCCGTTGATCCTCCCGGTGCTGACCAACTGCGCCCAGCTGTGGACGACCTACATGGGCAGCGACGAGGCGACGTCCAAGTGGTGGTACAATCCCGAGACCCGGCAAAAATTGCCGTACGATGCCCTGCCCGTGGGATTGTGCGAACAGTCAGCACAAACCCGGAGCATGCTGGAAATGAAGTCTTTGCATGCGAGGAGATGATCGAAGAAGAAGCAGGATCGCCACCAGACTTGTTTCAGTCGCTCGTTTTGCTCTTGTAGGGCCGCTTCAGGGTTTAGGCCTTTAGGGATTTCGGGCCTTCGGGTTTTAAGGATTTCAGGGCTGTAGGGTGTTTAGGGATTAGTGTTTCGGGTTTTAGGGTGTTTGGGGGTTTTAGGGTTTTGTTCGTTTTTTTTTTCCAATGTTTGTTGAAGGTTTTTATGTTTTTGTAGGGTTTAGGGACTTCGGGTTGTAGGGCTTTGGGGTGTAAGAGGCCTTTAAGGTTTTGGGCTAGGCCCCAGGTACATGCTTAATATTCCCTCATTGGGTTCAAGTGGGTCACGTGCAGAAACAGTTTTAAGAGGGCTTGAATCGCCATCACAGGACCCCTAAGCCCCGAATCGCAAAATAATCTTCAGCAGGTCAATTGTGTACAAAAACAATGCGCTATGAATATGAGCACCAAAACCCAAGCACACGATAATCTCGGTCAGGTTCAGGGTTTGCAGGGTAGCGTGTTGCATTCCCAAGGCCTAGAAGCCAGTAAGAAGCAATCAGCTCAAAGTGCGGATGAGACTCTGGCTTGTTTGATAGTTCCTAACCCGAAACCCTAAACCCGAAACCTAAACCAATCCTAAGCCCCATACCTAGAACACGGAGTAGGTCCTTATTCCCGTTTTTTTGGTGTTTAGGGTTCCCATCTGAGCCCCTTTAAACCAAAAGGAGCACCCTGTTTACACCCTGACCCGAAAAGCCCCGAAACCTTAACCCTAAACCCTAAACCCTGACCCTAAACCCTAAACCCTAAACCCTAAACTAAACCCTAAACCCTAAACCCTCTAACCCTAGTCCCTCAACCTTGACTTGGTCCTTTCTTGATCGAAGGTGGAGACCTAGCTTCAACTTATTCGCAGAACCCCAAAGTCCAAGCTGTACACCCTAAACCCAATTGCAAAGCCCTAAACCCTAAACCCAAAGCCCTAAACTTGAAACCCTAAACCCGAGACCCTACAAAACCTGGCTAGGGTTTAGGGTTTCGGGTTTACGGTCTAGGGATTTGGGCAGGTTTAGGGCTTAGTGTTTAGGGTTTAGGGTTTGGGGTCTAGGGTTTCTTTAGGGTTTAGGCTTTAGGGCTTCGGGGTTTAGGGTTCAGGGCTTCGGGCTTAGAGTTCAGGGCTATCGACTCGTCCATAGACCTGGGGCCTGAAACGCAAGTCCCGCGCCCGCAGGGCTTCCCGCAGTCGCAGAACAATTTGGGTGCGGGGCCTTAAGGACTCAATGGCGAAAGAAGGGTTTAGGTCTTGGGGTTTAGGGCTTTGGAAGGGTTCCATAAGGGTTTCATAAGGCTTCAAAAACGGTTCGATAAGGGTTCCATGGGCGTTCTATAAGGGCTCCATATTTTGTAAGTAACGGTTCCATACGGGTTCTATGAGGGTTCTCTAAGGGTTCGCTCTGGGTTCTAAAGGAATTCTAGAAGACCCTGCGGTTGTGAGTGTTCAGCTTTTAAAGGGTTCGTGGTCATAGATGCATTTGCCTGGCGGGTTTTAGGCTTTAGGATTGCTTTGCTTTCTTTGTTCGGAGGGGATTCCGGATGAGGGATTGGTAGCTTTGTGCCTTCGTAGTCCAGCTGGAAGCCTGCAACTTATCCGGGCGAAGTCTATAGCAGAATCCAACCTTATAAGGCTAGCCCCAAACCCTGAACCCGAGACCCTACGAACACGACACCCTACATGCGGGCAGCCTACACGATAAGGAAGACGCCCTTGAAGAGAGGGACCTCTGAAGGGCAGATAACTTAGAACAACCCTGAAACCCTAAACCCCAATCCCTAAAACCTAAACCCGAGACCCTCATCCACCCCAAACCCTAACCCTAAACCCTCAACCCTAAAGCCAAACCCTGAATCCTAAACCCTATAACGTTTCGAGGCTGGATGCTCTACACCGGTGATGGCGTGCCGATGAACACGCAGGTGTGGTCTCAGCTTCCGGGTAGGGTTTAGGGTTTAGGGTTTAGGGTTTAGGGTTTTAGGGTTTAGGGTTTAGGGTTTAGGGTTTAGGGTTTAGGGTTTAGGGTTTAGGGTTTAGGGTTTAGGGTTTAGGGTTTAGGGTTTAGGGTTTAGGGTTTAGGGTTAGGTTAGTTTAAGGCTTTCAGGGGTTTAGGGTTTGCAGGGCTTCAGGGTTTTCAGGTTTCAGGGTTTTTAGGGTTTCAGGGTTTTTGGGTTTCAGGGTTTCAGGGTTTAGGTGGCTTAGGGGTGTAGTTTAGGGTATATAAGGGTTCCCAAATTAAAGGCAGGCCCTTTTTTGGAATCCCTTCTAAGCCCCTGTAAACCAACAAGGGCACCCTTGTTGTTTCCCAGGTTACTCTTGGGGTCTGGAACCCTACTCCATGAAGCCCTCAACTGGAGCAATGAACCCTTAAACCCCAAGTATCTTTGCGTTCCATTCCTTGCTGTGTGCAGGAAGGGCTCAAGTGGCTTGAGAAGGCTGCCAATGCTGGAAACGAGGAGTGCTTAAAATGGTAGTTTAGGGTTTAGGGATTAGGGTTTAGGGTTTAGGGTGTAGGGTTTAGGGCTTAGGCTTGTGTTTCAAAATCGGCTTCGGCATTTTTTTGGGGGTTGACATCGTGGGGAGGTGCTTCCCTGCGATCGACCGAAGCTCACGGTTTCTTTCGCCATGCAAACTGTTCAGGCCCCTGCAACCGTAAACCCTAAACCCTAAACCCTAAACCCTAAACCCTAAACCCTAAACCCTGCTGATACTTCGAGCCATCAGAAACCTGAAACCCTAAACCGGCCTCTAAGCCGATCACGGGGGACCCCTCCCCCCCCCCCCCCCCCCCCCCCGAACCTGAGGAGGCTCAGTACCATCTGCTGGCCGTCCGCGGCACTATGATCTCAGGCTCTGCACATCTTGCTCCTGCGATCTTCGGTCCTATACAACAAGGAGGGGGCCCCCCCTTACTATACTAACTGTAGTTAAGGGACTTATAACCTCATTTAGGGTCCTTATAACCCAATTTAGGGCTCTTATAACTCTACTTACTATACCTAGGGTTCTCCTCCTGCTACCCCCCGCTCCCCCCCTTCTCCAACATGAACTTTCTAAGCCTAGGCCCTATAGAGCATCTGAACCCAAAACCCTACAAACCTTACGCAGTGAACCTCTAGTTAAAGCCTAAACCCAGCATAGAGGACCTTCAATTAGGCCCTAGTGGGGTCTTGTGGGAGGGTGTCCCGGAGCACATTTCCCCATTGGCTGCTCTAAGTTATAGGGGCCCCCTTTATCGCGGCAGTTCTGCCTTCGGGTTTAAGGTTTAGGGTTTAGGGTTTAGGGTTTAGGGTTTAGGGTTTAGGGTTTAGGGCGTAATACTTAGGGCTTCGCGCACGTGTGCCAGGCTGATCGGCGGCCAGCGCAGCTGAATGCATCTCTGAGCACCGGTGCCCAGATCCCGCAAGGACGGAAACTGTGTTTCAGGGTCCTAAATCGCTTAAGGTTTAGGGTTTAGGGTTTCGGGTTTATAGGGTTTATAGGTTTTCTAGGGTTTAGGGTCCTTCGAACACCCTGCGGCCTTTACCCACAAACCATAAACACTCACATTGTTAATTGCGGGTCGAAACTAGGCTTCTTTGCGAGGACCTGCGATGGACACGCTGAAGAATCAGCGGGTCGGTCTCTTCGCGCACTTCCACCAGGTCTCACGCCCCCAAATTAGCCCGCCCCCCCTGTACCGGGTTTAGGGTTTAGGGCTCAGGGTTCGGGAATTAGGGTTTAGGGCCGTTTAGGGTTTAGGACCTCTCTTCTTCCCTGATTCCCACACGACAGCAGTACGGCAAGTTTCCTAAAACAAAAACATCCCCAAGAAAAAGTGAACAAGAGAAATAGAAAGGGACGCTACCTTGAGGGAGCTGCCCAGAGCCTGCAAATCCTAAGGGTCCATGTACCTAAATAGGGAGTACTTGGACCTTAAAATACTTGCTATATAGGGTATAGGGTATTTGTGGCCCAAGTATATAATAATTAGGTACATGGACCCTTAGGAAAAATCTTAAGGATGGTCGTGAGATGCTGTGTGTCATGTGTTGAGTAAGTAGCACCCGAAGCCGCAAGTGACATCGCTTTTGACCAGAGCTTTGATCACTGGCATGATTTTTCCTAAGCTTACCCTAAACCCTAAACCCTAAACCCTAAACCCTAAACCCTAAACCCTAAACCCTAAACCCTAAACCCTAAACCCTAAACCCTAAACCCTTCGAAAGCGGCGGTACAACAACACTGTAGGGCCATGTCCGCGCCCAGACCCTGATCCCGATACCCTAAGCCCAATACCTTGGGGACCAAATGAACCCTAACAGGCTTATGGCGTTTAGGGGGGTTAGGGTTTAGGGTTTAGGGTCCATCGACCTTAATACGGATTGCAGTAGCATGGGGTCCCTAAGCCCTAAACCTCAGTTTTGGGTTTCATTTTGGTTTATTGAGGAATCTTAGGCCCCTAAACCCTAAACCCTAAACCCTAAACCCTAAACCCTAAACCCTAAACCCTAAACCCTAAATCCAAGGAGTCGAGCACAAGCACGCGGATCCCCTGGCCGCGCCACTACGGCGCCGGCTGGGACGACTGAGCCTGGGAAGGTTCACACCGCAGGATGACCACTCCCCAAGGTCGGCGCTTGGGAGATGGGGTTTAGGGTTTAGGGTTTAGGGTTTAGGGTTGAGCAGAGGGGGCGTCACGCCCCTAGATACACCCAAAAGACTCGAATCCTTAACATAGGAACCACCCAAATGTCCAATTTTTGGGATCCTAAGCCCGAAAACCCTCCCTTGCAGATTTCCCCTGTTAGGTTTTGAAGGATCACAGTCACGCAGCATTTTCCGACGGGGCCGACCTGGCTTCAGTGTGAGTTTATTTGTTCGGGAGTCTTAAGCTTGAACCCTTATACTAGCAGCCCTTAATAGGCATTGCAGTACCCTATTTTTAATCCCTATTACATTATTAAGGGCTGTTAGTATAAGGAGGAACATCCCTAGTTTGGAGTTTTGTGGGGTTTGACGAGTTGTAAGTGTCTAAGGGGTTGGGGCTTTATGGCTTGGAGTTCTTGAGGTGTTTATCCAAGACTCATTCAACATACCCCAAACCCATACACCTTAACCTACAAAAGGCTAATACAAGGAAGGATTTTACCATACCCCCCCCCCCCCCCTAATTTCTCTTAACAGGTATGCCAGGATAAGGGGGCGTCTGGGGTTCAGGGCTGAGACCCTATCCCCTAAACCCTAAGCCCTCCCTAAACCCTAAACCCAAAACGCTGGACCCTAAACCCTACACTCTAAACCCAAAACCCTAAACTCTAAATCCTAAACCCTAAACCCTACCAACCCCTAAAGATGTTGGCGGAAAACATGCAGGGTCTAGGTTTCAAGTCTTTGGCTTGAGCTCGACGCATCTGCAACTAAGTCCAAAATGGGAGTACCCCGAACACACCCAAAAACTACTCTACTCCTCACAAAAGGAACCCCAGAAAGGGTACCCCTATTTTGAGAACCTTCCCCCCTAGGTTCTCTGCAAACCCTAAACCCTAACCTTAAACCCTCAACCCTAACCCTAAACCCTAAACCGCAAGCCCTGAACCCTATGCCCTAAACCCTGAACCCTGAACCCTACACCCTAAACCCTAAACCTAAGGTGCTGAGTTCTTGGGGGGGTTAGGCACCGCAGGCTTCGCTGTCGCAGAGTCGACTCCAGAGACTGGTGATGGCAGCGCAGAAAAGGGTTCAGAGGGAGGGATTAGGGTTTAGGGTTCAGGGTCTAGGGTTTAGGGCTTAGGGTTTAGGATTTACAGGCCTTAGGAGGGTTTAGGATTTAGAGGGTTTAAGAGGGTTTAGGGTTAAGAGGCCTTAAGAGGGCGGAGGATTAAGATGTCTTAAGAGGGTTTCAGAGGGTTTCGGGTTCAGAGGGGCTCAAGAGGTTTGAAGAAGGCTTAAGAGGGTTTCAAGGGGATAAGAGGGCTTAAGAGGGTTCGTTGGAATTAAGCAGCTCAAGAAGGTTTCGGGGGATGCAGATTTCTCAAAGCCCTAAACCTTAACTTGCACTCCTTAAAGCTTATAGTTCACCCCAGACCCTAACCCCCTGGAACGCATTTTGGGTGTGGGTCTTCCGAGCAAAGGGGCAGCTGCCCTAAGGGTCCATGTACCTACACAGTATCTACTCAGGCCTTACAGCGGTTGCCATGTACTAGCTTTTGGGCCCAAGTATAAACAATAGACCCGAAACTAAACCCGAAGCCCTATATATGGGTACATGGAACCCTTCGGTTAAGGGGTGTAAGGAGGGACCCCTACAAGGGACCCTTAATGCTGTTCCCCCTTTTACACCCCTGCAGAACCCCTAAACCCGAAACCCTAAACCCTAAACCCCCTGTATATACCTCGTACAGTGTTTAGGTTTGAGGGTTTAGGGATGCCAGGATGATTGATTCAGGATGCAGCCTGCATCTGGGCTTTCCAGGGTTTAGGGTTTAGGGTTTGGGGTTTAGGGTGGGTTTAGGGCGTAGGGTTCAGGGTTTAGGGTTTGGCTTTAAAGTTCAGGGCTTCGGGTTTAGAGCTCAGGGCTTAGGGTTTAAAGTTCATGGTTTAGGGTTTAAGTTCAGGGCTTACAGGTTACAGTGCAGGGTGTTAGGGGTTTCGGTTTGCCGCAAGACTGCATCATAGGAGCGTCAATGGTGACCCTCCAACAAGACACACAATGAGGGTTCAGGGGTTTAGGGGAAAGAGAAGCAGGGAGACACAAAGTTAGAGACTAGTTGCTACTGAGGGTTCCTAGGGCTTAGTAGGGGTAAACCCAAAACCCCAAATCCCAGATCGCCAAACCTCCAAGCCTCAAACCCTAAACCCTAAACCCTAAACCCTAAACCCTAAACCCTACACCCTACACCCTACACCCTAAACCATTCACGGAGCTGACTGCACCCGCCAAGGCACAAGCTGAAACACATCCCTGAAAGTGTCGCCGCTCCGAACTGAGAGTGCAGAGTTTAGGGTTTAGGGTTTAGGGTCTAGGGTCTAGGGTTTAGGGTTTAGGGTTTAGGGTTTAGGGGCTTCAGGGTTTAGGGTTTAAGGGCTCAAGGGATCTGGCATTCAACAAGTCCGGGGGTGGTAAGGGGGCAGGGTTAGCGTTTTAGGGTTTTCGTATCACCCTATCCAAACGGCAAGTAGAGGACTTTTACTGGGTCCACCCAAACAGCATGCCTTGCAAGTCCAGCTTTGTTTTGCGTCTGTTTAAGGCTCATAAGCATTCGGGCTTGTAGGGGAAAGTCCTAAACCCTGAGCCCTAAACCCTAAGCCCTAAACCCTAAGCCCAGACAAAGAAGGGAACTACAGTTTGGGGGTCTAGGTAGGGTTGGCAAGCTGACGGATCTGTCGACTGGATGGCTGTTTTTGCTTGTTACCCTAAACCCTAAACCCGAAACCCTAAACCCTAAACCCTTAGCCCTAAACCCTAAACCCTAAACGCGAAGCTTTATTTTATGTGTGTGGCCTGTTCCTTTGGGAGACCAACGGCTCGGGTCTAGGAGTTTAATGAAAAGGGTTTAGGGTTTGGGAGTTTTATATATAGAGGGTTTAGGGGCTTGTGGGTTGATGGTTAAGCCCTAGTCCCTAAACCCTTGGGCAGCGGGTGCGAGAGTTCTTTTGGGTTTTCTAAGCTTGCGACTTTCCTTTACCCCGTGCACTGGCTACAAGCATGGAACTAATTGCGGGGTCGCAGTAGGTACCAAGAGTGTTCCTTCCCTTATGGCCCCTCTATAATATTACTATAACAAAACCTTATTCTAAATATTCAGGCCCCTAAAGCAAATTCCCTGAGAACAGGAGCTAGAATTAGGGACTCTGAATCGTCAACATTCAAGCTGCAAATCTTCAGGACCCAACTACCTTAAACCCTGAAAGTTGAGACCCCCTGAACCTCCAAAAAGCTAACCCAGCACCCACAAAGAACAAGACTAATCCCTACAAACCCAAAAGACCCTCAACCCCCTTAACCCTAAGCCCTAAACCCAAAACCCTAAACCCGAAACCCCAAACCCTAAACCCTAAACCCTAAACCCTAAACCCTAAACCCTAAACCCTAAACCCAGGCCATGTCGCTCGGCTTCGTGGTCGGCTGTGCTGTCCGGGTGAGGATCTCAGGGCTGTTGTTTCTTGTGTTCTTTTTCTTCGGAAGGGGGTGGGGGGGGGGGGGCTTAAGGTTCAGGGTTTAGGGTTTAGGGTTTAGGGGTCTATGTAGGTCTTAAGCTTTCGGACCTGGGACTTAGCTAGTCCAAAATACAGGAACTCCCCCCGAAGGGGCGTTTGAACTTAAAACCCTGACGCCCCTAAGCCTTGAACCCTAAAACCCCTCTTGTAAG